TGCCAATGATTTAAATTTGCACTTTCTCTCATCACATCGTGTTAATATTCGGTTCGATTCTATTTTTTCAGAAGTTGAACACTTGCTTCATTCTCTCTCCTCTTTAGCATTTCTACACCAGTACAACTGGTCAGACTTGTCCACTCGTCTATTTTCACCTTCCTCTTCCTGATTCTCGTATTTATCCAAGGTACGTTGAGATGAAAGAGAGCAGCTACAATGGCAAGATAATAAGAAGGGTGTGTTGAAAAGTAGGCTGGATTATGCTTCTGTTTTCTATTGTGTGTTGGACGGGTAAGCGCCTACTGTGCTATAAACAAGACACATAGGTTCCCCCGTCTGGACCTTGGGTCGGGAAACATGGTCTATGGTCTGATATTGTTCTGGAAAGACCAAGGTTTACTTTAAAGCATATCTCTCTCTTTTTGTCTTTCCAAACTTCTGCAAGACAATACAGCTATTGAATCTGTTTCTCAATGTGCGTTTTCCAGGTAAGCGCCTGCTGTACAAATGCAGGCTCCTCTGGATGGACCTTGAGTCGAGAGTAGATCTTCTACCTATTATATCCCTATTATACACTATCATGCAAAACTGATTCAATAATTCATGTGCATTTCTTTTTTTCATTCCTAGAAACCGTATATGCATACACCACTCATACTTTGGTTTAATAAAGCTCCCGTCTTCTACGTTGTAGTTATGCGTTGTGACATTAGCTTGTCTCATTTGGAAAGCTAATGACTTTTTTATTCATGCAGGTCACTTTTTCAGTTTTGCATGTGGTCTAAAATGTTGCCCATGACAACTGCTGGATGTCATTTAATGCAAGTAAAAGAAGGACTTTTCTCTCTTTCCTTTATGAACATTAGCTTAACTCTCTCTTAACTCTATCTTCACAGAATATGAGACCCACTCCACAAAGGAAAGTCAACGAAGCCAGGAGGTTAATGATGGGAGGCATGTCTACTAGAGAAGCTGCTGCTAGTGTCGGTATATCGCAAGGGACGGCCACCAGGATCTATGCACATAATAAGGAGTACATGCCAGTCAATAAAGGCGGTCGACCAAGGAAAGTATCTAGAGATATCATACAGTATCTTAAGGTGGACATGAAACGAGGTACACTCAAGTCTGCAGTTGAGGCCACCGTCAGAGCCAACCAGCTCATACCAGCGGCTGTTTCTGAGACCACCGTTAGACGACGGCTCAAGGAGTTAGGATTGACAGCAAAGAGACGTGTACATAAGCCAGCTTTACGTCGACGACATCGTTTGCATTTTATCAATAAGTATAAGGAATGAACTCTGGAAGATTGGAAAAAGGTTATTTGGTCAGATGAATCGAAAATAAACCGAATCTGCTCTGATGGCGTGCAGTGGATCTGGGACGACAATCCGGGACGTCTCACTCGCAGGTCGGTGCAAGGCACTGTCAAGTTTGGGGGTGGTAACGTTAAAGTGTGGCCATGCTTCTCATGGTACGGACCTGGATACATTGCAAAGATTGACAATAATATGGACGCACAACTTTACATCAAACTACTCCAGGAGGATCTACAGATGTCGCTTGATGACTGGGGCCTAACTAAAAGCGATATCGTCTTTCAGCACGACAATGACTCGAAGCACACGGCGAGGATTGTTAGGAAGTATTTAAAGTCAGTACATCTGACAGAGGAGGAAGGTACACTTCTAGAGTGGCCAGCACAATCCCCTGACCTCAACCCTATTGAACACATGTGGGCAGAATTGGATAGGCGGCTCTCTAGGTATCCGGAGCGAGCTAAGAGCTGTGATGAACTATGGGAGCGAATATCGGTTGAATGGTACAGGATCCCAGTGGACTTCTGCCGCAAACTCATCATAGGTATCCATAAGAGACTCCAAGCTGTCAGTGATGCCCATGGTTGAAATACTATCTATTGATGTAAGGTTATGCCTCACAAAAGAATAAAGATCTTTGGCCACCGAATGGGCACATGTGAAACTGATTCAATGACCTGAATGAACAAAAAAGTCATTAGCTATTCAAATGAGACAAGCTAATGTCACAACGCATAACTACAACGTAGAAGACGGGAGCTTTATTAAACCAAAGTATGAGTGGTGTATGCATATACGGTTTCTAGGAATGAAAAAAAGAAATGCACATGAATTATTGAATCAGTTTTGCATGATAGTGTATAATAGGGATATAATAGGTAGAAGATCTACAGTCTTCATCCAACAAGCCGTAAATTTTTTACGGATTTGTGGATTTTCACTTCTATTCATTTCAATTTAATAAATATATCAAACTTTATTTTTGGTTTTTTTTATACGATGTTCTTGCGTACCCACTTTTTTTTCACATTCACTTCCACCCACATCCATCCTTATGCTTCGAAAAATGAACCCAACAAAGCCTAGAAACCAGTCTTCTCGATCGAGACATGCACTCAAGAAGCACAGGCTGCACAAGTCTTATTCCTTAGCCGACAAAGTGAAATTCATTGAAGCCGTCGATGAACTACGAGCAAAAGGGTTCAAAGTCTCTGTTTCTTCTATTGGAGCAGGTTTGGCATGAGCCCTTCCACGGCAATAGACATTTATCGTCGAAAAAATGAGTATATTCAAGACGTGAATTCGCTACCCCTCCTAGCTAGTCATGCAGTCAAACGCAAGTTCGATCGAAACATGGAACCCGCGGAAGATGCTTTGCTGGAGTGGTTCGCTGCTGAAAGAGACCTCGGTAAGGCGGCATCTCTATCATTCTAGAGAGAAAAAAAGGAAAAGGAAAAAAAAAACCATTTTACCTTGTGTGTTTTAATAGATCTCAATGTGACTGATAACCGCTTGCGAGGAATGGCAGAAATCACCAAGCAAAAGGATATCGGGGTCCTCAATTACCTCACTATGAACTACTGTGAAGGGCCTACAGAGTCGATCCTCGACGCTGTTAAGATGATAACGACATCTGAAAAGCACAAGCATCGCTTCGTCCCATACAATGAAGATGATATTGTCTACGAGGACGATAATCTAGACGATGACGAAGATGGTGTTGACTACGAATCCAGTGTTCTTGACTCAGATCCCCAAGGGCTATCAGACGAGCTCGAGTCACCTCCATCCAGTCCGACGATAAATGATAAGATATAAACAAAGAGGAGCTACAAGAAGACTTTCAGCGATTTATGGATGCTTGGGGCAAAATCGATGACCCTCTGTTATTGAAACGCTGGGTTGCAGCTCAAAGGCAATTGGAGCTATTTAACGAATATCGCGATTTACTGAATGACATGAAGGAAGTGAATCAGAATGAATGAAAATGAATGAATGAGAAGAAATAAAGTTTGATATATTTATTGAATTGAAATGAATAGAAGTGAAAATCCACAAATCCATAAAAAATTTACGGCTTGTTGGATGAAGACTGTAGAGAGCCCGCCTTCCATTTATGGAACGGTGATTGGTGGCTTGCCGCTTTGCAGACAGGATGGCACCGAGCCTATACCAGCCCCTCCAGTAGGTAGCATCCAAAATGGAAACATTTTGGTAAAGATGCACTTAAGGAGAGGGCTGGGAACGAGTCTATTTAATCTTAATTTTTTTAATTTTCATGCAAGCCAATATGGAATACATAAAGATTAGTGATTAGCATTTATAACTTCTTTGTTTGAAGGTAAAATAAAGTATCAACGTTTATGTATCGACTAATAAAAGGCATCCAACTGTGTCGAGGGAATGACGTGTTGTATCTCCTTGGCGTTCTGAAAATTAAAAAAAGGAAATGTCTGTTCGAACAAAAACTGCTAATGCACAGTTCCCACGATATACACAAGTGACATGGCATACATGTGAGTATCAACAGTATCAACATTTCCATGAACAACGCTGCTTTATGAGCCCTCTTTATTACTATGCCGCCTTGATCATCTTTTGTCCACTTGATATTTCTCCACATTATTGTTGCACTGTCATCAAAGAGGATGGTATATAAAAGAAAGGACAAAATTAGGGATAAATAATAAAAATGTACATGAAGGATAATAGCGCCGCCTTGCGCCATGATTGTATGGACATGGCTAATATTGATGCGTGGCTGTTTACTCTCAGAGACAGGTTGCCATCATTCATGTGGCATCTGGAAGTAAAAAAGGTCAATTTTATCGAGATGGACAATGTCTGTGTCCCTTGTCTGCCGTGTGAACATTCAGATTCAAAATGGACTCTGGCCAACCAGAAAAAAGAGTGTTCATTCGAACATCTAACTGAAGGTGTCATGGCGGAAATATAAACGACATTGCGGCGTTCCCCTCTGAACGCGTTTTCTCTTTAGATTTTCAATATTTACTTTATACTCATTCGTTAAATATTACAACCCACCCACCATGACTTTCTTTATCGCTGGCATATGATAGTTATCAGTATTATTATTTAACACCTTTTGCAGCAGGATGCTCGATTTCCTTTGCGTCACTGTAAAACATAGTATCGACAATACAAAAAGAAAGACAAAGTATATTCCTTTTTTCCTTCTTCAAAAATAAAAAAATTGATAGCTATAAAGGAAATAAAATATGCTACATATACCATTTTACCAACTGAACTATTCTCAAAAAGGGTTAACGGTCGCGTCGTTTGCCGAGATCTAGGCAGCAGGCCACACAGTCTGTCCAATTCTGATCCTAAAAAACAAATGGAAATAGACCTTTCTTTACCCCTTTCACTCCAATCATGACTTTCAAAAGTTGTTTTCATGCATCAATATAAGCCGCAGCAGAGAACTCTTTAATCTTATTTGTTGAGGGCAAAAAAATGAAAGCCTTTCATTTTGGATGACAGAATGAAAGCCCTGGTTGATTCTTGTCAGGCAGAACTTTGCTCACATGAGCACTCGCGCAGCATCTACTCAACAGAGCGGCGTGAATTTATGATAAACGATGGCATCAAAGGTGGCGACGGGTCAAGTCAGTTCACTTCTTTTTATTTATTATTTCTCTTTCGGTGATTATTAAAATGGTTTGTGGCATAGATGCACCCGATTCTGCTGGCACTCCAGTCCAACAGCGTCGCAGCGATAGAATTCGCAAAAAAATGGCTGGAATTGTTAAAGATGGTAAGTATTCGATCTATATATACGTAAATATATATACACACTGAAAGAAAACCACGATAAATAGTAAACTGACGTTGATGTTTTTCTTTTCTTTTCTTTTCTCTTTGATGTAGTGGGGGAGGCCATCACAACCCCACACAGGTCTCACATTCACTCCAAGTTTCCATCTCCGAGAGGAGTTGAATTAGACCAATACAAAAGATGACTTCAATATAAGAGCGGTACGCGGAGCAGCCTGACGCTGACAGACGCATATAGGAACTTTGAAAGGACTATCAAAGTTCAAGAGTTCCATGCGGATCAGCGGGGCAAACGCACCAATGCCCATTTGAAAAGCCGTGGTTGTAAGTCACTTATTTTATTTTAATTTGTTTTATTTTATATTTTTTGGTGAGTGGAGAAATAATGGGCATTAACTGTATATCTAATCTCATTCTGTTAACGATAATAATATTATCTCAAAAGTGATCGTGGCTGCTGGCTCCAAAGCCCGTCAAACAAGCGTGACCGCAAAAAACGAAGTCGAGCCAGCCAAAGTACAGGCTGTTCCACACCATAGTTTGCGACCAAGTGTGGAACAGGTCTCTGTACAAGAGTCGAACCCAGGGGTTGGTTTCCATGACGGTGTCCTACCCGAAACCACCCTGGAGAGACGCAGGAGGCAATATAAACCAACCGGGTCCCGCCATATTGCCTCCATTAATACCAGTTGGGAGGAGCGGGACCAACAATGGCGAGCCAAAAGACTAGAAAGCTACAAAGCTTCATCTAAGGCCGCCAGAGAGACCGCAGTGTTCAAGAAACGCAACTGTAAGTAGCTTTAAGAGACGCAAATAACATAAGGAGTTGAATAATATCAAAATGTAACATTGATTATTCTAACCATCTGTTTTAAATTTACAATAGTGAACATTTGCGGATGGGGGAACTCACGGAAGAATCTCGGCAACTACCTTAGTATTTGCTGGGATTACAACTCAGACCTGGATGAAGACAATGATCAGACACTCCCAGAGCGTGCTGCATTCCCTCTTCAATATAGCAACGCTGCCGGAACAGTGGTTGAGTCCGGCGTGATCTATCATCCGCAGACAATTGTCGACGGTGGTAAGGATCACCTGAATGGATACTGTTTCACAGTCCAGTCAGAGCTTGCCCTGAAGTTTGAAGCAGCACAGCGGGTGTTGTTTCAACAGGCGAGTGACCTCATCCAAGGCTCCTTCTATCAATACAATATGGACCTGTCTTTGGATTCCAGTCTTGATGACGGATTCACCATTGATATTTTTGTGTCGTCGGCCCCTTCAAAGGATTTGGCCGACATCACAGTCCGAGGGGTGACGCAGTTCATCTTTATGAAGTCGTACATTTATGTCGACAAGATCTGCGTCGCACAAAAATATCAAAAAATGGGAATCGGGGCTTTTTTGATGGATAGGATCCTCAAAATCGCCCAAAGGCGAAACAAAGACATTCTCCTGTACGCACTTGGCCCTGTTATAGGTGCGTACAAGAGATGGGGTTTCCAATATTGTAAAGAGTGGCCGCCAATTCCCAAGGACGTTGGCGCGGTCATGCGGAAGCGTATCCGCACAGAAGGAGTCAAAGACGAATATGTTGGCCTGGAGTGGGATGGTACAGGCTTCTCTTAGGTCGCAGAGCGCCTACACCACTTCCAGGCCAGCACGATACCCTTCGTCTTTTACTATAGTCCTTGGTTTTTGTTTTATTTCCGCCATGTATTTTATATATATTTATTTGCTTATTTTTGCTATGCACCATTATCACCACCATAATTATTAGAATCATCATCATCCTCATTAGAATATCATAAGCATTGTCAATGGCATTAATTACTCAGTGTATTCTAATAAACTTTATTTATTTATCTTTTTGTATTAAAAATAAAAACCTTCTTTCAGCATCAACAGCACGCATAGTTGACTCAGCACTTACTTACACTTTATCTAATCTATTGTCTAGTCTCATTCAAGTATTGAGAGGGAATCCACTGATCTTACGGATGAGGCATGGAAAGAAGCGCTTCACATTGACTAGTCCATGGGCCCAGTATTGATTAACAGGAGCATAGGAAGCGTCTGCAGCTATCACCACCAAGTCCACCTGCTGCACTTAGTCCATTTAATGTATCTACTGCGGATGTTTAGGCGCGCATGTCTACCACGAACGCGCCTACTCAACCCTTGTCGTTGTCGTTATCGTCATCGTTGGGGAGTAGTAGGAGTGATAATAGTAAAAGGCTATTATCAAAGAGATAAGGAGAAAAGCAGCAATATAGCACAAAAACAAAATACTATTGCCTCATCTCATCCACAGCTAAAGTAGTATCAAAAATCAGCCACGGCCACAACTTACACCAGGAACGCCTGGTCGTAGTGAGTGCATGGCGTAGCGGCGTCATGTTGTGTGACCCCTGTTCCCTACCATCTGAACCCAAGATGCTCTGACCAAAGGCGAGGTTCCATTGGTCAGCCGTTCGACAGGCCACTGCCATGGGATTTTACTTGGAGGAGCGAGGCCTATGGTCCTTGGAAGGAAGCAGAGGACCTGGAAAAGAGCATCAAACCAAGATAGAGCTTCTGGAGAGATAGCCTCAGAGCTAGCGAACAACAGCCAACAGCCAACGGCCAATATAAAAAAAAGCTTTAAAAAAACTTCAAAATATAAAAAAATAAAAATAAAATAAAAATAAAAAAAATAAAAAAAAAATCAGAAGCTAGGGGCCAGGGGCCGGAAGCCAGAAAGCAAGCAGCAGATAGCAGTTACGTCACTGCCAGCGCCGATAGAAGGTTGTCTCACCCATATCAGCCTGAAACTGCCTCAACAAAACCAAAGACAGAAACCTCAGTCAAAACAATCAAAGGTAACCGCAGTTAATCAAATACAGTTTGTTGCGATCAAGGTGATCAAAGACTACCAAAGCCAAAACCGACCAGGAGCAATCAAAGTCAGTCAACCACGGGCACTCAACCAAAGCCGACGAACGTGTATGAGTCTACGCTGGTTCTTGAATGAGCCATGCAGTGGCGGAGCCCCTTCGATTGGGAATGGGAATGGGAATGGGAATGGGCAAATGTGTAAATAATTGTGTGTGTGTGTGTGCGGGCGTTTGCAAAGCCATGGGGCCTGATCATCGGAGCACGATATGCCAGACCACCTCCACGTGGTGTGCTCTGGACAACATCTTGGAGAGTCTTTTCGATGGTGACAAAGGAAAGTACTTTCCAAGGTGGCTAAGAGTCTGGCTCCTTGTAGCTTAGAATAGTAACCAGGTAAGTTAGATAGCTAGATAGCAAACATTTACTTAATAAAAAAAAACCTAAAATAAAAACAGGCTTTGAAGCTCAGTGAGTCATCTAAAATGCACGAAGAGTCCAGGTAATGAACTTGAAGATGTCCTTTGTCGCCTTGACACTCCATAGACAGAAACCTCTTGCGGCACAGCATCCAAAGGAAGCACTCATGCTAGTTTGCATATAATGGTTAAAGAAGCTGCTGTAGTCAATGAGGGCACAGCAATGCAAATGTGAACGCACTGTAACACGGTAAGCGCCTATAACAACACACGTCCACCAAAGTAGCAGTCCGAAATCATTGACTAAGGGACAGCTCATAGACTCTACCTAAAGAATTAACCAGAGCTATGTAGTTGTGTGAGCGCAGCTAGATACATAGGGCCTTAGGGCATGCTATTGCTACTAGACAAAAAAAAAAAGAATGCACTTTTGCACGATGTTTCCCTCTAAAACAAACCAATGCTTGATGAGTGGAGCTGCTTTTAAAACTTATGGTCAGCAGCCCCTATCTTTGCCACTCTTTTGTTGATTAGGTTGAAGACCTTCTCTTTTCAGTAGAGTATGAGTTATATTGATTATGGAACTCGTTCGGCAAATCAAATGCGTAGCCTAAACTAACGGTTATAGTCAAAGACCACCGAGCTTGAAGCCCAACTCCACTAAGGTATTCATGTGCTTAATTGGGTTGCTCTTCAAGGCCGTGAATGAGTGAATGTAAGTATATAGCCAGCTATATATTACTGAGCAGCTTGCTACCAATAGCTGACACAGCTTAATCCATTGGCTTTGCTATTGATTGTCGCTACTAACATTCTATTCCTATTTGAGGACATTTGCATTCACAATAGTCACAGATCCATCACATTTTCAGACAAAAGACAAAGATCATTGTATCTGATCTTGTCTTTTAATATTTATTATTAATTGTTTACTGTGCTGTGGTTTCCAAGCTGCATCCTGGCCCAAGAGTGGTGATGCCCTTGGTGCGTGTGCATGACTAGATATTTCCTAGTCGGCTTGGATTCTTTTGATGATGCTTCTTAGTATATCCTTTGATGCCGCCTTGGCTAACTGGCCTTGCTAACCTTGGTTGACTGGCCCTAGTGGCCTGGCTTTAGGTTAGCTGCCCTTGGTTGACTGCTTTTGATTGTCTGGACTCTTATCGGTTGCCCTTGGTCGACTTTGGCTTTGGTAGTCTTTGATTTCCTTGATTGCAGCAAACTGTGTTTGATTAATTGTGGCTGCCCGGCTGCCTTCGATTGCTTTGACTAAGGTTTTCTGTCTTTGATTTTGTTGGAGCAGTCTCTAGCTGCTATGGTTGAGCCAACCGTCTACCAACTTTAGGCCTTGGCTGGCTTTCAATGAAGTTTCTTTTGGTTGAGTGGAGTGAGCTGGTTGGCTTTTTTTTTTTTTTTTTTTTTTTTTTTGCAGTGACGTGACTGCTATCTGCTTCTGATTTTTGGTTTCTGACTTTTGGTTCCTGCCTTCAGGCTTTTGACTTCTGGCTTCTGGGTTCTGACATTTGGCTTCTGGGTTCTGGGTACTGGCCTCTGGCTTTGACTTCTGGTTTCTGGGTTCTGGGTTCTGGCTTTTGGGTTCTGGCTCCTGGCTTCTGACTTTTGGGTTCTGACTTCTGGCTTCTGGCTTCGGGGGGGTTTTTATTTTTTAATTTTTTTTTTTTTTTTTTTCTTTTTTTTTTTTTTTTTTGGTTTTTTTCGGGGATTTTATATTGCCCTTGGCTGTTAACTGTTGGCCGTTGGCTGTTGGCTGTTAGTTATTAGCTCTAAGACTATTTCCCCAAGCGCTCTACCTCGGTCTGATGCTCTTTCCCAGGCCTTCTGCTTTCCTCCATGGACCGTAGGCCTCGCTTCTCCAAGCAAAAGTCCCATTGTAGTGGTCTATCGAACGACTAATCAATGGAACCTCACTTTGACCAGAGCACCTTTGGTTCAGACGGCAGGGAACAGGGGTCACACAACATGACGCCTCTACGCCATGCACCCACTACGACCAGGCGTCCCTGGCGCAGCATCGCTAATTGGATAACCTAAGAATGATAAGTCAGCAACAATGAACCATTCACAAAGCCCTATAGAGCACCGAGTTGCCAAAGACTCCATCTAACCAGAGAGAACGAAAGCAAAGGTAAGTAGAATTAATATACTCTTTGTGTCTTTTTTTTCTACCTACCTTAGATGCTACCAGGCCTCGATAACACCTGTTCCTGATCCTGATCCTGATCCTGCTGGAGGGGGAATCTCCTTGACGGCCGAGGCTCGAGCTCTACAGGGCCCTGTGAAGAATTCATTGCTACTGACTTACCATTCTTAGGCTACCGCAACTGTGTGTCATCCTGTCCCTACGCGAAATCCCCAGAGGCACTCGGATCAAAGTGAGGCCCAGAGACTAGAAGTTCTCTAGCGCTACCACAATGGTCCTCCCTCAAGGAGTCGTGAGGGTCCGACGGAGTGGAACCCCCCCATCAGAGCAGCTGGGGGGTTCGGGGGAGGCGGCAGAGGGACCGGCGGAGGGGCCCCTGGGCTCTGATGGTAAGGCGGAGTGGAGCCCTTATCGAATCGGATAGGTCTCTACGGAAAGATCTGAAGAAATAAAGAAAAAAAAAAAAAAGCGTGGTTAGAATATTTGGTGACCAGAGTACAGAAGATCATATCTCATTACAAAGAACAGTATAACGCAGCAACTCCAAAAGAGAAAAAAAAGTGCAATATGTTTACTCAATAAGAGAGTACTTACAAATCCGCTTGGGGCCCCATTTCGATAAGCACTGCATGAGCTTTTTGCAGTCTTTGGGATGGTCGCCGGTGAGCATCCATCGGTAGTGTTTCTTATGATGACCAGAAGGGCAAAGGTAAAAGGATAGGAATAAGTTAATGGACCTGCTGGACTCATTTAGCAATAGCTAAACAGTGGATGATGATAGGCAAGACAAAGCGAAGGCATGCATATGCTAGATACTTACTTGATGACGGCTCTATAGTGGATTGCATTTCACGCCTGGGATAGAGCATTTTTTATGGCCTAAGTATGGCTTTTGTAAGGCATGTGAAGGGAAGGTGGAGAGAATGAGAGTGAAGAGAGAAAAAAAGAAAAGAAAAGTTGGGGGGAGACGAAGGGTATTTACGAAAACTGCTTTTCTTTTTGTGTCGTCCATATGACGTTTTACAGCAACGCAAAGGAAACTTGGTATCCCACTGCCAAAGGTATTAATAATAATAATACTACTACTAATAATATTCATCATATGTCAGCGGTAAAGAAAGCCATTGTGGAGTATAATAGTAAGCAAATGAGCGAGTAAAAATAAATATTTAAAATGTAAAGAGATAACGCGTTAAGAGGGTAATACCACAAAAATATTTATTTTCCGCCATGACGCCTCGGTCAGATGTTCGCTATTTTCTGGTTGGTCAAAACATTTACACGGCAGATAAGGGAAGCAGACATAATCCACCTCGGTAAAATTAACCTTTTAATGAGTATGGAAAGAGCTATTGAGTCAAATATAATGAGTAGTACAAAATAGTGCATTGTATAGACATATAAGAAAAAAAAGGAAAAATAAAAAGGAAAAAAAAAAGGAAAAGAAAAAAGAAAAAGAAAACGGCATAGCGGAAATTGAAAATCGATAATCTGCGCACCTGTGATATCATTTGTCAATTTTCATATGCTTACAAGGTGGAGAAAGCGAGTGTTAATATGCCTGTGCTCTGAATCTCGTCCATTTACTTTAGCTCGCTGTCTAAATAGATATTTCTTTCTTTGTTGCACCACCTTAGCATGCAGAGAGAGCAATGTGGCTCGTGCTCTGATTGCAGCCTAATATTGTTGTTTATATGATCTTGCAGATCTTGAAGACGGAAGACGGAATGTTAGCAGTGCTTTTCCCCACCTCCACCCATGAGTGCTTTCTCTTTTCCCTCTTGTATGCATATGAAGAATGACGGATGATATCATGTATTGTGCATATTATCCATTTTCAAATTCCGCTACGCCGCTTTTTTTTCTTTTTTTCTTTTTTTTTGGCCGCTCTAGAGCGCTAGAGCGTACAAAAAGCAAGATGCTTGATATATTCATTATTCAGTCAATACTCTGAAATCGCAAATTGGTTTCACTTATCATTTTTCCTGCGCGACTTCAAAAACCACTCATCATTCATCCATTCGTCCTTTACTCGCGAGTGCTTTCGATATAAAATAAACTTTTTTTTTTTTTTTTTTTTTTCTTTTTCTTTTCTTTCTTTCCCTTTTTCTCTTCTCTTCCAGTTCAGCCTCGTCGACCAACATGAAAGGTAAGCAACACTCCACAAATATTCACCCTTACTAAAGTCCTAACTCTCTCACCTTATGCTGCGCTGTACTTGTTCTGACTTTTCATTCTCTGTCTATCTCTCTTTCTCTCTCTTTCACACCACTGTTAGACCACAAATGATACAAACTTCTAGCCAGATACAGAGCAGAGCTAGGAAACCCTCTGAACAACTCAACAGCAAACTACAGACCAGAAAAAGCAAAAAAAGCCTCACCTGGTCATTCACAGAAGAGCCCTCGCCGCTGTCATCAAGTAAGTATATAGATTATGTATGCCTTCGCTTTGTCTTGCTTGTGATTGTCCCTACCATCAAATAAGCTTAGCATACTTACAAAGTTATCTTCGTTCTTTTTTTTCGTCTTCCTCCTTCTAGCTGTAACAGGGGCCACTAGCCCTAGGCTCATGGCGACGATTGTCCCAAAGACTGCAATGGGCCCATGCAGTGCTTATCGAAATGGGGCGAAAGCGGAGCTGTAAGTACAATTTCTTTTAGAGTACATGTCGTGACTTTCTGTCTGTACTCTGCTGTGCTCTGACTACCAAATATTCTAACCACGCGTGTTTTTTTTTGTCTTCTTCCCTTAGAGGCTCATCCGCTTGAGCTCCAGCCCGCCGACCCTTCCGTCAAGCCCTCGCAACTCCTTGAAGGGGGATCATTGTAGTAGCTCTAGAGAGCCTCTAGCCTCTGGACCTTACTTTGATCCGAGTGCCCTTGGGGATTTCGCGTAGGTAACAGATGACACACAGTTGTGGTCGTCTAAGTATGGTAAGTCAGTAGCAGTGGCCTGTTTACTAGGCCCTATAGAGCTCGAGTCCCGGCCTTCAAGGAGGTCCCCCCTCCAGCAGGATCAGGATCAGGACCAGGATCAGGATCAGGTGTTATCAAGGCCTGATAACACCTCAGGTAAGTATACATGCGCATACATAGCAAAGAGCATATTAACTTGATTCTACCATTGCTTTTGTTCTCTCTGTTTAGGTGGGATCTTGGCAACTCGGAGCTCTATAGTGTTTAGTAAATAGTTCATTGTTACTGACGCCATTCTTAGATCACCTCAATTAGCGAAGCTCCACCAGGCGCCTGGCTGTAGTGTGTAGTGCATGGCGTAAAGGCGTCATGTTGTGTGACCTGTTACCTGCCGTCTGAACCAAAGGTGCTCTGGTCATAGTAGGGCTTCATTGGCTAGTCGTTCGATAGACTATTGCAATGAGACCTCTGCTTGGAGAAGCGAGAGCAAGGGTCATAAGGGGAGTAGAGGGCCTTGCGGCTAGGAGCGCAGGGCCAATAGAAAGCAGACAGCAGCCGAGGGCCGAAAGCCAATAGTCAAGAGCCAGCAGTCAGCAGTCAACACCCAACATCCAATAGCAGAAAAAAAAAAAAAAAAAAAAAAAAAAAAAAAAAAAAAAAAGAGCAAATAACCAAAACACAAAACAAAGAACAAAAAAAAAAAAAAAAAAAAAAAAGATAAAGATAAAAACCGAAACACAGAGTAAAGAACAAAAAAAGATGAGGAAAAGAAAAAAAGAAATAACTTAAAAAAAAACACTCAAAGTCAAAGGCAGCCTCAGCCAAAGCCATAACAGGCAGCCTTGACCAAATCAAACACACACTGCCCCGATCAAAGCAAGCATGCGCAACCTCACTCACGCTGGCCAAAGGTATCCCAGAATAATCCAGACAACTGAAATCAGACAACCGGAGCCAGATGGCCGAAGTCAGGTAACCAAAGCCGGAAACTGAAGCCAATCAAACCCTTAAAGACAGTGCTAGTCAAGATAGCTGTGAACCCCCAATCAAAGCAACACAGGCTGTTTTGACCGAAGCAAACACACTCAGTCTCAGCCAAATCACCAAGACAAGCCAGGCAAAATAAACACAGGGTGCCTCAATCAAAACAAACATACCCAATATCAACCAAGCTACAAAGGCAATCTAGAATGATCCAGACAACCAAAGTCAGTCGGCCAAAGCCAGCCAGCCGAAGTCATTCAACCGAAGCCAGCCAACTAACGGCAGCCGACTGAAAGGCATCAAAGCCAATCATCCGAGGCACTGCGAAAGATACTCTAAAAATATTTTCAAAGAAGCTCAAAGGCCAAAACAATAATCCACACAAGACTATCTACCTCTAAATAACAAAACAAAAGTCTTTTGCCTACGAACCTGGTCATCCTTAGGATAGAGCGCATCTCGGAAGTGCCAACATAGTAAACAATTAGCAATAAACATTGTTTGTCTGAAATATTGGTAGATGGATAAATGTTCTTGATCGTTATGATTGTAGCTGCCTCCCCGAATTGAAAGTATATTTACTGGCAATAACTACTATATCCAAGAAAAGAAGTTGATCATTGAATCGTTGGTATCATTGGAGTGTATAACATGAAGTGAGAGAGAGCCATCAGGCTCAAGCAGCCCTCGTTTTCAATAAACATCCGATATGGCAATCGATAAAGCTTTTTAATAAAAGAACTCTTGAGATCATCCTCGCTAATTCGGATGCAGAGTATAAATTGGCTAGTGAATATACTTGTGTGAGCACGGCCCATACCCAGCCGCGCGCTTGTGGTGGTCCAGTACGGACATGGAGGGGGGTTTGATGAAAGTATATTTGTGTAAGCGATATGAGATCAACGCGTTCCTATTGCCCGATTTGCCTCGTCTATTTTCTTTTTTCTGCAACTTAGCGGATTCAGTAGACTGCCATTTTTATAGTTAGATCCCCTCTTGATGACCAGTTTTTTGATTATTATTCAAAATAACGGGAATTGAATTTTGAATGCTTTTTAAACGGACCCACTAAACACAACGAATGCTATGAAACGGCGCATTCTCGCAGTCAATGAGCAAAGGCCTTGCTTGAGGAAAAAATCGAGACTATGTAGTTATGGATGCAACTAACCAATTAAATACATAAGCTGCTACGCCTTCCAATGAAAAAGAGCAATGCACGGTGTCGTTCCCTCTCCCCAAAATAATAGGATCAGCATTTTCCTCGTCGTCTTTTGCGGGCGGAATGCACTGCCTGATTAAGTTGCTGTAATCAGACCAAAGGTGCAAAAATCCGCCCAAATGGTTATCTTATAGCCTGGGAGGGATCCCACATGTGATTATGGAGGCCAATAGCACTAAAGCTACTCATGTTTTTGATTGGACTGCGCCTCAGGGTCATAAATATGCCCAAACGGCAACACTACTAGTTACTTTCACGGAGCGACTTGCTACCAGGAACCAGTACAGCTATTCTATTTGCCCTTCTACATCTATGTTGCCTTCTATTGAGGGGTAACTACAATCATAACGATCAAGAACATTTATCCATCTACCAATATTTCAGACAAACAATGTTTATTGCTAATTGTTTACTATGTTGGCACTTCCGAGATGCGCTCTATCCTAAGGATGACCAGGTTCGTAGGCAAAAGACTTTTGTTTTGTTATTTAGAGGTAGATAGTCTTGTGTGGATTATTGTTTTGGCCTTTGAGCTTCTTTGAAAATATTTTTAGAGTATCTTTCGCAGTGCCTCGGATGATTGGCTTTGATGCCTTTCAGTCGGCTGCCGTTAGTTGGCTGGCTTCGGTTGAATGACTTCGGCTGGCTGGCTTTGGCCGACTGACTTTGGTTGTCTGGATCATTCTAGATTGCCTTTGTAGCTTGGTTGATATTGGGTATGTTTGTTTTGATTGAGGCACCCTGTGTTTATTTTGCCTGGCTTGTCTTGGTGATTTGGCTGAGACTGAGTGTGTTTGCTTCGGTCAAAACAGCCTGTGTTGCTTTGATTGGGGGTTCACAGCTATCTTGACTAGCACTGTCTTTAAGGGTTTGATTGGCTTCAGTTTCCGGCTTTGGTTACCTGACTTCGGCCATCTGGCTCCGGTTGTCTGATTTCAGTTGTCTGGATTATTCTGGGATACCTTTGGCCAGCGTGAGTGAGGTTGCGCATGCTTGCTTTGATCGGGGCAGTGTGTGTTTGATTTGGTCAAGGCTGCCTGTTATGGCTTTGGCTGAGGCTGCCTTTGACTTTGAGTGTTTTTTTTTAAGTTATTTCTTTTTTTCTTTTCCTCATCTTTTTTTGTTCTTTACTCTGTGTTTCGGTTTTTATCTTTATCTTTTTTTTTTTTTTTTTTTTTTTTGTTCTTTGTTTTGTGTTTTGGTTATTTGCTCTTTTTTTTTTTTTTTTTTTTTTTTTTTTTTTTTTTTTTCTGCTATTGGATGTTGGGTGTTGACTGCTGACTGCTGGCTCTTGACTATTGGCTTTCGGCCCTCGGCTGCTGTCTGCTTTCTATTGGCCCTGCGCTCCTAGCCGCAAGGCCCTCTACTCCCCTTATGACCCTTGCTCTCGCTTCTCCAAGCAGAGGTCTCATTGCAATAGTCTATCGAACGACTAGCCAATGAAGCCCTACTATGACCAGAGCACCTTTGGTTCAGACGGCAGGTAACAGGTCACACAACATGACGCCTTTACGCCATGCACTACACACTACAGCCAGGCGCCTGGTGGAGCTTCGCTAATTGAGGTGATCTAAGAATGGCGTCAGTAACAATGAACTATTTACTAAACACTATAGAGCTCCGAGTTGCCAAGATCCCACCTAAACAGAGAGAACAAAAGCAATGGTAGAATCAAGTTAATATGCTCTTTGCTATGTATGCGCATGTATACTTACCTGAGGTGTTATCAGGCCTTGATAACACCTGATCCTGATCCTGGTCCTGATCCTGATCCTGCTGGAGGGGGGACCTCCTTGAAGGCCGGGACTCGAGCTCTATAGGGCCTAGTAAACAGGCCACTGCTACTGACTTACCATACTTAGACGACCACAACTGTGTGTCATCTGTTACCTACGCGAAATCCCCAAGGGCACTCGGATCAAAGTAAGGTCCAGAGGCTAGAGGCTCTCTAGAGCTACTACAATGATCCCCCTTCAAGGAGTTGCGAGGGCTTGACGGAAGGGTCGGCGGGCTGGAGCTCAAGCGGATGAGCCTCTAAGGGAAGAAGACAAAAAAAAACACGCGTGGTTAGAATATTTGGTAGTCAGAGCACAGCAGAGTACAGACAGAAAGTCACGACATGTACTCTAAAAGAAATTGTACTTACAGCTCCGCTTTCGCCCCATTTCGATAAGCACTGCATGGGCCCATTGCAGTCTTTGGGACAATCGTCGCCATGAGCCTAGGGCTAGTGGCCCCTGTTACAGCTAGAAGGAGGAAGACGAAAAAAAAGAACGAAGATAACTTTGTAAGTATGCTAAGCTTATTTGATGGTAGGGACAATCACAAGCAAGACAAAGCGAAGGCATACATAATCTATATACTTACTTGATGACAGCGGCGAGGGCTCTTCTGTGAATGACCAGGTGAGGCTTTTTTTGCTTTTTCTGGTCTGTAGTTTGCTGTTGAGTTGTTCAGAGGGTTTCCTAGCTCTGCTCTGTATCTGGCTAGAAGTTTGTATCATTTGTGGTCTAACAGTGGTGTGAAAGAGAGAGGAAAGAGAGATAGACAGGGAATGAAAAGTCAGAACAAGTACAGCGCAGCATAAGGTGAGAGAGTTAGGACGTTAGTAAGGGTGAATATTTGTGGAGTGTTGCTTACCTTTCATGTTGGTCGATGAGGCTGAACTGGAAGAGAAGAGAAAAAGGGAAAGAAAGAAAAGAAAAAGAAAAAAAAAAAAAAAAAAAGTTTATTTTATATCGAAAGCACTCGCGAGTAAAGGACGAATGGATGAATGATGAGTGGTTTTTGAAGTCGCGCAGGAAAAATGATAAGTGAAACCAATTTGCGATTTCAGAGTATTGACTGAATAATGAATATATCAAGCATCTTGCTTTTTGTACGCTCTAGAGCTCTAGAGCGGCCAAAAAAAGGAAAAAAGAAAAAAAGAAAAAAAAGCG